GGAACGAGGAATACAGAAAATTTTGTGCAAATGCATCATGGGACTATTAACAAGATCTTATGGAAATCTATGCTCTCTGTGAATAATATTCGAATGACGTTATAATTGAGTTAGTTTATGTATACACGGATGTAAAAGAAATATCACGGCTATCCAATACGGAGATTTCGATGGAAACATCTTGTGTACGATGGGAATATTACTAAAGCAATATTTCCTGTATATACGTATGGGATTGAATTTTTACAGGAATAAATTTGTAAAAAGGGTATTCGTAAATATCGAGGCAGCGAATTATAGATGAATTTGAGCTCAATATATTTTGATAATATCGTGGCTTATACAATAGACCGATTTAATAAAATTGAAACAAAAAGTAAGATAAATTGCTCGGTTTTTCAAATAGAGCATCCAATAATTCACGAACGATTATTGTTAAATATGTTAAAAGTATTTAAATATTTTTATGTATATATATATATATATATATATATATATAGATATTATACGGCTTCAAACAATAGGAATAAAAGTAATTTTAGAGCTTGGGTTTGCAACTGAATTCAGCGATTAACGATTAGTCCTTGGGAAATTTGCACGTTAATAATAAATAGTTTTGAAGGTAACGTAGTTGTAGTTTGATGAGAATACGCGCCGAATATCCCGTAAAAGGCAGAGATGGAAATGTTGATTGTGCAGACGAAAATTGAAGGCGCGAGAGGCTTCATGAAAAATGGAAGAGCAGTAAAATCATGCCGATAAACAACCGGAGTAAAGGAAGATGGGAAGAAGAAGACACTCGCCAGGCATGATAATAGATAGATGCGTGGGCATTAAGGCACTGCGAGTAAAATAGAGTGAGTGAGAGAGAGAGAGAGAGAGAGAGAGAGAAAGAGAGAGCGAGAGTGATGGGATGACGCGGGACGATGAGTGGGAATAGTCGCGGCGAGGGGGGGGGGGCGATTTAACAGGTGAGTCGACAGCGGAAGGAATCCCTATGGAGACCCCCCACTTGTCGAGTAGCGTCCTGCCGTATATATATATTTTTCACTCGACCACACTCCTTTTTTGCTCGTGTATTTGCACCTATACTGCGCAACTTGGGATTCGCAGTGACCGCCGGCGCTCTTATCGATAGATAAAGAACGGAGTTCCTAGGCCACGACGTCGGCGGCGGTAGCGGCGGTGACGGTAGGTCTATTCGAAACGCTTGATCGAGCCGCTGCACGAGCGGTCGACGTCGTCTACGAAACCAGGCCATCGTCGTTGCGTAGACCAACCGCTTTTCCTTGAGACGGAGGCCAATCGGGCGTAAAAAATTATTTTTACTCCTCGACGACGCCTCGCCTTGGCCATATCCAAGTGGAATACAAAAAATTTCGGAAGAAACGTCGCCTTATCGCACGATGTCTCTTGCGCCCTCGGTATTTCATACGGGAGGGCCCCGTTAGTTTTTGCACATCCCCCACGTCGTTCGCGATTATTGCACCTTGTTCGAAGGTAGCGCCCTCCTTGCTTTTTTTTTTAACAACTTAGTATTGCTATTTCATGCCTCTTTCGTGCCTCGATTGCTCAATTATTACTCGCCGACTTATCACTATGGCGAATGATTTTTAATGGCAAAGTCGATTCGCCATCGTTACTCATTATGTACTTACAGACACATCCCTTTTTCACCTTGTTTATAAGCTTTAGTTATCCATTCCTTGGCAGCATCGGGAATCGTTCATTTCCATGAGCCGATCCTTCTTCGACAACATTTAATTTTTATGAAAATGCTTAAATTAGTGAATTTTGAATACTTAGACGATCTGGTTAACGCGATAAAAGTGCGCATACATACGCTCGATAAATATGCCATACGCGCGACGTACATCCTTCTTTCTCGTTCATTTGTAATCCCTTAAAACGGGGCAATTTGCTGTGACGTTTAAATTAATAACTTAAGTACGGCATTCGCACGAGCTCCACTCGGTATCGATTGTATTTATTAATACGACAATTTAGTCGAATAAATCGTTAATCTTAGGTAAGACGTGGCGCGGCGATACTTAAACTTTAGCGCATAAGGAGCAAATGAGAAAAATTAATGTTTCAAGCCGATAAGCCAAAACCGAATATCACATTCATCGCTCTTTCATCGAATTTTTTTTCACAATTTTTTCACAAAAGGCGAATTAACTAAATTAATAATTAAATTATATTTTTCAGCGATATTTTTCATATTTTCAATCGGTCGTTAAACTACTTTGACCATGGTCACGCGTTGCAGTGCATCGCACCGTAATATACTTTCATAAAATGAAATTACAAATATACAAAGCAAATTACGTGTACTTCAATAATATCTTTCGAGTCATAATCGTATGGAGTAATTTAAAAATTTCAAAATAGTATACCAATATCACGTAGATGGATAATAATATAGCATAAATTATCGTAAATACTCATACTGGTAGCTTAAGCTAATGAAACTTATTATGTCAATTAATTAATTTTAAATGCTACTTTTAATATTTACTGAAAAATTGAGCGAAGATCGATCATAAAAATTGTTGCTCCCATTCACTATTTACTAACGATTTTTCCGAAGTCAATCAAATTTAAGAAATTATAACGACTTGAAAATAAATATGGTGCAATGCTGTAATAAGATAGCGAGTGAATAATTTGCGTGTAATTCGTTTTAATTGGCTCGTTAATTAAAAAAAGAGATAGAAAATTTAATCAATCGAAGAAGAGGCATCGTAATGTGACAATTGGCGCTATACTTGGGCAATGAATTTTATATTAAAGGAAAATCAATTGTATAGTTTGCACTAATCAACTCCTCGATTTAATTAACTACATGTGTATATATGTATATATATGTGTGTGTGTGTGTGTGTGTGCGCGCGCGCGCGCGCGCGCGTGTGTATATATTTATGTGTTGCGATTACAATTTGGATAGTAATATTCATACGTCACATTTTCCCGTAGGTTTCATTTCAAATACATTCTAGTCGTAGGGGGAAGTCCTGGAATAGTCGTCAGTGCTGATTGACAAAACTCTTTCGCCTTTCACGAAACAGAAAAAAAGGGAAGATGAAAAAAAGAAGAAAAAATGCCACAACAAATACAAAACAAAAAATGTGAAAAAATGTGGAAATTAACCAACCAAGCGCCGACGTTGATAAGAGTTTGTATTTACAATAGCGTATAAATAATAACCGAGTGCTTCGCCAAATGTAAATATATCGCTGAAAATATATGCTAGGATACACGCGCATACCTACGCGAATTCATGGCAAAATATATAAACAGAAAATTAGTCTAGTAAGTAGTTAGTAGATAGAGCACTATTCGACAAATCCAACGCCCTTGTAACTCGGTCAACGGAACATCGCCTCTCATTATTCTTCCAATGTTATTCATTAGCTACGACTTTCGAATTAGGCTCGACGAAATTAACGTCAGCATAAAAAGAGAAGCAGAAAAAGGAATGTACGGATCGTCGATCGGAAGCCTTTAAGGTGGCGTTCGTCATCTGTGCTGTTGGGGCGTTAGGGCGTGGGAAGCCGCGATCGGGGTGAGAAGGGGGTCGACGATGGCGCAGTGTTGGGGAGGGGACAGGGGTGCGATTGGGGAGGGGGAGGGGGGGGCAAAGCCGAAGGAAGGCATTATCGTCGGGGCTGACGGGAAGATTCGCGCCGAGGCAGCACCGAGGAATAAATCGAAAGCGTGGCCACGTCGATGGCGCTCACCTGTCGCATGGTGCACGACGATCGGCGGCGCAGCGGTTCGACCTCGCTTATTTTCACTCGCCTCACCTCGACCTCATTGCGGGAGATTTTAACCAGGAGGAGAGCCATACGGCGTCGTTGCTCGACACGGAGGTCGATCGGGCCTTGCACCTTCTCGACTTATCGCCTCTGTAATCTAACTCGGCATGGTCCATCGTGTGCCGATGATGACGACGACGACGACGACGACGACGACGACGACGACGAAGACTACGATCACGACAATGATGATGATGATAAACGATACGCCGATTACTTGGGCGGCGAACATTTGATAAGTGGGCGTGGAAATTACGTGTATACGTTGAACATTAAAGGCTACATCGTGCGCACCAAAGACTACGTGCTATCTTTACTGGAAACTCTATATTACTCGAAGAAATTGCAAAATACGATAAAGATAAAGGCCACATTATTATAATGTATTTATGACATTTTCTAAATATAGAACGAATGCATTAAATCCTTACAGACCGTTAACTATTCCAGCTAAGTTTCGACTTCAACTATCCGGCATTTCGTTTATTTTTTATTTATTCGTTTGTTTATTCATTACGTGCGTGTCTATTCCTCGTATGTGCGCGCGTGCGCATACGTACCAAGCTAGGTACGAAGGCATGAGTGAATATACACGAGTAGTTATATAGGCATGTATGTATTTATATTTCTCGTATGGGTGCAGCGCGGGTATGCACCTATTCGTTCCTACAAGTAGTCTTATTTTTACGACGACCGCAAGACATTTATCTGAAATCTATGAGTAATCGGTCCAATTTACTCCACGTACCACAATAAAAAGAAATACCATCATAGTTAGTTTACGACTAAATTATACGTCCGAGTGAATTATTTTTAATATAAATTACGTAACGTAAATTACAGCCTAATAAAGGCTGAGCATTTAAATTGACATGAACCGAATAATGGTGCGTGTACACGGAACAATGACAATAGTGCCTACTTCTTTTGCATTATAGGTAACGCTCGTAATCATTGTAAATGATCAGCAATAAGAAATGTGAAGAAAATCGATGAGGATTTGGATTGATAAGTCAGTGATAAAATTATATAATTCGTTGAATAATCTTAGACGTAAGAGGTACCGACTGCGCTTGAGAAGCGAACAGCCCGCGAATGCGTAATGATAAGGTGACTCGCCTTCTCGCCAACCAGAATACATAAAAGAAGAAAAAAAAATCGAAAATGGATAATGGAAACTTACCATCTAATGCTGCGTCTGATGATACTAGTGACGACTTTTTGGGATTTTCGCGTCGATGGTCCCTTTGTACTATTGGTCCCGTTGTTCTGCTTCCTTTTCCTGCCTCTGGTCTTCTTTTTAGGTGCCTCGATCTTCGGCCCAGCACCCTCCTGCTGTTCCTCGGCCGGCTCCTCCTCGTCGCCGTTGTCCTCCTCCTCTACGACATCGGCAATCTCGGCGTCGTGGCGCCTCGCCGGGTCATCGGCCTTCGTAGCGGTGTGCTCGACCCAACGCACAACCCGATCCGCAACTGCAGCCTTTGTGTCGTCGGTCGGCAATGCAGGTTTCCCTGTTATCAGCTCCTCCTCGTTGAACAATTCGCTCGCGACCGTGGGTGGACCGACGATCAAAATCTCCGGCTCGGTAAACTCTACCTTCGGATCGATCGCCACTTTGGCCTTTCCCTTCGTTTTACCCCTGTCCTTTAAGGACGTTTCATCCTCTGCCTTTGACGGCCCGTCCGCCTCGGCCCCCTCATCGCCGTCGTCTTCAGCAGCCAGCCCGTCTTTCTCTATCATCATTGTGACGTCCTCCATGTCATGCGCCACCCCATTCGCCATTTCCCTTTGAACATCGCCCTCTTCATTCGCCACCTCCACCGTTGCTGCCACCTCCTCCTCCTCCTCCTCCTCCTCCGCCTCCTCCTCCTCATCCTCCTCCTCCTCCTCATTCTCCTCCTCCTCCTCCTCCTGCTTCTCATCATCCTCCACCACCGCGACCTCCTCCTTGTCGACCTCCTCATCATCCTCCTCCATCACCTCCTCCTCTTCCTCCTGCTCCTGCTCTTGCTCCTCACCCTCCTCCTCATCCACTACATCGTCCTCCTCATCCTTCGACTCTTCATTCACTTTCTCCTTCATCTCCAGCTTCGTCTCTTTCTCCGCCTCCTCTATCATCTCTGCGTCAACGTCCTCCTTCCGCTGCTGCTCCGTCGTCTCATCGGCCACCCCATCCTTCATCTCCTCGACTCTCGTCTCTGCGCCATCTTCATTAATAACGTCCGTCACCGTATCTACGATCTCCACGACCGTTACCTTCTCTTCGCTCTTAGCCCTCACCACGAGTAAATCCGACCTCGATTCCTCCACTTTTTCAACGACCTCATTTTTCAAGTTATCTTCTCCCTTACTATCGATTTCTAAAGATTCTGTGACGTCTGTTCTACCTTCCTCGACCTTTCCCGCCTCTGACGCTTTCTTCGTCCCCTCGTCCTTCGGTTCCATAACTTTCGAAGCTTCCCGCTTCTCGTCAATCTCAATATCGTCTTTGGCATTCTCTTCCTTATCGTCGAGCTTTGACTCATCGTCGCCCTCGGTATCCTCGAACACAAGCTTGAGAGACTGGCTACTCTCGATGTCGTCATCCTCGTGTGTTTCCTTCACGGCCTCGGCCTCTTCCTCTTCCTCCTTTGCTTTCTCCATTTCCTTCTCTTTCCTATCCCGCTCTCCGATGATTTTTTCGCAATTGTCTTCGGCATTTCCCCCACTGGCAGCGTTCAGCGACTCGAGTCCCTTCTTCTCGGGCTCGTTTTTCGCGTCCTTTACCGGAGCTCCCGCTTGATCGGGGCAATTCTCGGAGACGAGTGTCTTATCGCTCTCGGGCCCCGACTCGTTCTGATCCTCCGCCATGTCCTGTTTGATATTGAAATGGGTTTCGCGCGTATCAGTGCAGACGATCACGCTTCTCCTCGATTAACGATACTCTCGATGGACAGCGCATCGTGCAGGCCTTGAAGGCTATTTTCAATGCGCCTCTCTCTCTCTCACTCTCACTCTCACTCTGTCTGCCTGCCTGCCAGCCTGTCTGTCTGTCTGTCTCTGTGTGTGTGTGTGTGTGTGTGCGTGTGTGCGTGTGTGTGGAGAACCAAATACAACGCGAGGTTGAGATCGCGAGAAAGCGCGCGATCCTGTCCTTGACGGGGGGTCAGAAATGTCAAATGGATGATTATGACGTTTGATATGCAAGCTAATTTCTTAGCTGGCGGCCCCGTTCCCTCCTTTGTTTTTCTTTCTCCGCTCGCTTATTTCTTATCTGCTTTAATTTTAAACTGCTCCGCCAATCACTGTAACACGAAAGAAAGAATAAATGGTAATATCGCTAAGAAACAATGAACACGTATACACATATGTATGGCGCTTGTAATTTAATACTGTAACAATCTTATTTAACAAAAAATCGACTGTAATTCAATTTTCTAAAAGAAAAGAAGCAAAAAAAAAAAGAAGAAAAACTACCACATTTTACATTTTATTTCAAGATGGTAAAACAATTTAAACAATTGGCTTTTATTTTATATTACGACAAACAGTCAACACACGATTACTAAATTGCCCACTAAGTTGCAAATGATCGTAAGAAAGAAACAAAAAAAAAAAAAAAAAAAAAAAAAAAACTTTTCAGGGATTATTGCCTCTAAATATAGCTTCATAATGTACATAAACGAATTTTTATCGTCATTCCGTCTGAATATTTAGTTTTCAAATAACTTCGAAAAATCCATGATTTTAGTTTTGTCTTGTTACAAATACGATACATTAAAGTCGTTGTCAAATGTAAATTTCTGCCTCTATCAACGCTCATACGGTGCTTCTTATCTTCATAATTACAACGATGCCATTGTTGATTTGGATCGTAACTCTAAATTCAATTCCCAAAACATAATTTTTGTTCTCTCTTATTATTTTATAACTGCAGACAAATTTCATTTCTACACGATATTCTTTTGCAGAAACGTAATTCAATTTTTTTTTCTTTTTTCTTTTTTAATTGAAATTTTGCCCTACTTACCCCATGAAAATATCATAGTAGCTATAAAATCTAACCAATATAAATATTATAAAATCTTATAGACTTATAAAATTCTAAGTAATATAAATTTTAAATAAGGAATACGATTAAATTTTCGATCTTTTTCTATATATCGATGCAATAAATAATTACGATACTTGTGATTGTTTCAATATATGCTTGGGTAGTTAATAAATGCTCGTTTAATACCACTGTTAGAACGATTAAGAAATTGTCAGTGATAAATCTGCAATGGTAGTTTGAAGCTTCCTATATATAATCGTCGAATTCACAAGAATTGCAAGATACCAGTGATGTGAAATTGGAGAATCAGCTGATCGGTAAGCGTGGCGAATAGCTCGAGAGAATGAGAAAAAGAATTACGACACCACCTGTTCGTTCGCTCGGATCGCGCGCGCATCATACAAAAAATCCCGGCCTCGGTGCTGCCGCCGCGGTGTACGCGAGAAGCACAACATTAGCCAGCGCCTTCCCTACGAATAAATAATGTATCGGGGAACTACTTTATCGACCGCTACTCAGTTGATGCGCTCACATTGTCTCTCTCTCTCTCTCTCTCTCTCTCTCTCTCTCTCGGTCTTCTCCCGCTGTTCACTCGATTGGATTCGAGCTCAGTGGATAATACTTGCTCGACTCCTTAATCACACCACGAGGTTTTCCACACCTGGAATAGGTTAGTTCGCGAATACTGGTTAGGTCAGGTTAAGTACTTCATTTTTATAATTGTTCTCTCTCACTCACACGGGCGCGCGCTCAAGCACGCACGTACGTGCGTGCGAACGTACATTCGCGTAAGTGAGCGCGCGCGTGCTCTCGCTGCGGAAACGAACACTTTTGCAATTCATAGTGAGTATTGTTTAGAGGGGAAAATAAGCGAAATATGATAAGAGCTGACTATTTTCATTTGAATCTATTGTCCGTTAAGGCTCTCAGCCAGCGAACAAATGAAACAGAGATAAAGGCTGGGACATGACGTATAATAAAATTATTGAGGATAGTCATCTCTTTCCTCAGCGTAAATTAACGCCTTCGGAGAGTATGATGCAAGGCTAAGAGCTCCGCTCCTTCTCTCATTGTCTACAAAGTGCGCGTCAGCCAGAAATTCTAAATGCAACCCATACGTTTACGTAAAATAGTCGACGGCCTCTTTAATGCACCGGGGAAAATTATGACGATAAGAAGGGCCCGCGCATTCGTAGTAACAGTAACGTCACCTAATCGTCCCGGTCCGTGCCTGTGTTGGGACGAAGGTCGCTCCCTCCGTGCCCTTCTCACACACAAACACACAACTCTCTCGATCTCTCCCTCTCTCTCTCTCTCTCTCTCTCTCTCTCTCTTACTCTCTCTTACTCTCTCTTACTCTCTCTTACTCTCTCTTACTCTCTCACTTCTCTCACTCTCTGTTTCTTACCACAACGCACGCAGCCGAGGGTTTCGCAAAAATCTCGGTCTTCGTTGTTCCTCGAGCGTGCGCGCACAAATGCGGAGAAGAAACCGACTAAGAAGCGGAGAGGTTAGTGACCTCTAGGAAACTACTGTGCACCGACGTCGAGACACTACTAATCGACGGAGCAACAGAGAGAGAGACAAAGGAAGAGAGAGCAAGAGAAGAAGTGGAGAGGGAGTGAGACAGGGAGAGGGATGGAGTGGGTTGGTGGGTGGGATGGTGGGAGGCGGGAGGTGGGATGGAGAGATAGATAGAGATAGTGAGATAGAGGGAGTGAGAGAGAGAGAGAGAGAGAAAACGAGTGAGAGCACGTCGAAGACTGCAAAGGAGGGGGGAAGAACTACATCAACTTTGAAGGAAAATGCAAGAAGTGACAAAATATTGCTTCGGTATAGAATATATAGATGTGTGTAAATTGCATTTTAAATAAGTGTCGTTTCTTTTTTAGCGATAGTTGAGATTGCGAAAGTTTATTCATGTGTGAAAAGCATGAATTTAAAATTGAATTTGCTAATGTAGCAGCCGCGCGATTCACTTTCTTATAATTTTTGCTACGTTTCAACTATGTGCATAAAATTGTGATTTGAAGGGAACTGAATTTTATTATTGCACAGTGGTTTGCCAATTTCTTAGATAATTATTGTAATTTGTCCTAATTGAAATAATATTTATTGTTTTGATAGGCCATTACGAAGGCAGTTATAATAGTATTGATTTATATTGTCTACACGTTCGGTAAAAGGATGCCACTTTATAGAATATAATATTATCATTAGTATATAATACGTTAAAATTAACTAAAATTGTATTTAAAAATATATTTTTTTTTTCTATATAAACGTTTATCGATGCTTTTTAAATGCACAATATATATATATATATATATATATATATATATATATTGCATTTTCATTAGGGCTCGTATCTAATAAAATTGTTCATTTCCATAAATACACTTTCGTTGCAATCTATGGATATAAAAAGAACTAACTTTTTAGCTCTATAAGAATTCAAAAAGAGCAAAGAAAAAAAAAAGTAAGATATGCTTATACTCGAATGTAATAGGTGATATGTGTTATTTGCATATATACTTTATTTTTTATTTGAGCGTGAACATTGTCATACGCATATAAAATGTAAACTCACAATATTATGAACAAAAAACATTATATTATAATATGAAGATAAAAACATTTCCATATGCTTATTTATCAAATACTTAATATTCGTGCAATACATATAGAATAATATTATTGAGAAATTTTCTACATTTAATTTTAAAAAATGATAAAACCACTGAATATTAAAGAATAGAAATTTTTTCGCTTTCCATATCGCACAACAGATATTTTTCTAAAATGTATTGTAAATTAAAGTTTGCACGAGGCAGATTGTAATAATAGTGCGTATTTAATTATTAATATATATTGAAAATACTATAATTTATCTTGTTTAATATTTTTGCCAATTGATGATATTATATAATAAAACGTTAAAATGCTATCTCGCTTAATATATTCGAATGTTTCTGTGTAAAAAGAGTTTTTCTAAAAATTTAATTATAAATTTACAATATTTTCATTCGCTTCTATTGCTTTACATTTTATCTCGTATGATTATTATTTATTTTTTGTTTTGTTTTGAAGAACACAATTAATCTTCAATACGAGTATCTATTGATTAAAAATACAAGCCTGTTTTGACTCTAAGAATCCTTCACGTATGTCTCTCGGGGTCCAACTCATAAAATGTACATATATATATATATATATATATATGTTTTATTTATTTGTTTGTTCGTTGGTTTGTTGACGTGTTGATAAAGGTATTAAAAAAAAAAAAACAAAAAAAAACAACTACAATAAATTTATAATTTATTCTCTAAATATCTCTAAATATATATATATATATATTTAGAGATCGGATGTAATAAATTGTCGTAAATAATGCGACTGAGTACGGTAATACACAGTAGTAATGTAATTTGATCAAGCTCGGCTGTTCAGTTGTGATCGATTAAAAAAATACATTTCGTACTATCTCACGACTATATAAAGGAAAAAGTATTTGTACAATATAAAGTCAAATAAAGTTATTTTATTTAATCTGAAATTTATCAGGCCACACGTCATATGTAGATAATAATTTATCTGTTCTTTCAATTGTTTTTCCCGATGTGCGTCTGTTAACACAATACCGTCTCGCTCAGACTTTTATTCGGACATATGTTAAACTTGGCCGTGCAGTAAGTGGAAACGTTAGTAGTATGGAAAAGAACGAGAGGGCAATGCTTATGGTAATTGCTTTTCATTCTAATAAGAGAGAGAGCTGGTAGGGCTAAAGGGATCAGCATGATCTTGGCGTTTTGCTTATGTGTCTTTTCAATTTGCCGATTAAAAATTTCACCAAGTTAAATGATATCCTTGATCCTCATGTATGGCCATATAAATACTCGAATCCTCGGCACAAATACGTTTATTTCATATTCGCGTGGGAGTACTTTTGTACCATCCTTCTATTTTTCTTGCTATTCAGTTTTGATGATTTTATATTTACTAATTATATAAATAATCAGTGCTCGTAGATATTTATTATCTATTTTCTCGATCGTTCACACCTTCATGAATTTTCATTGTATTTTAATCACGATTATCGCAAGCTAATTTTCCGATCTTATCATTATCATATGAAGGTGTAATGGTAGTAGCTCGCTAGCAGCTATTATTCATCTTCCCTTCTCAATGCCTTTATTTCTTTGCTTAATAACGTATGACCTCTCGTTAAGCTGCGCGAGAGAGACCCCTAATACTATTACGTATCTCTTTGCTTTAAATATTCATATTATAGAAAGTACATCGATACTATGTCTAAAGTTTTTGTTAATATCTTTATTTCATAGTTTTCAGTGCGATATGGACGGCAGAAGGAAACGTTAGTTTCACGTAAAAAAAAAAAAAAAAAAAAAAAAAAAAAAATAATAATAATAATAATAATAATAATAGGAAGATAAAGAAACAGTATGTAATACGAGTAAAAACGATTAAAAGCCATGCAGCGACTTATTTAAAAAATAAAAAAAAAAAAAATAAAAAAAAAAAAAAATAAAATTACAAATATATTGTTGTGTTAATGAACTATACCTTTGACGAAATGACAGGATTACGAAAATAGGATAGTATCCTCGTCAATGCAGGAATATCCGGTTGAACATCTACGTTGCGGTTGGCTAAGTATTTTCCATTCATCTCCTACACTTCCTTGTCTCAAGCTCCAAGCTGTCAGATTTATTCAATATTGTGTAATTAAAGTCGACGACAAACTTCCACGAATATGTCATTTAATAAATGGAAGACAAAAAAAAAACCGTTTCATCCCAATAAACGAATTTATAAATTACAGAATTACAAATTTAAACTGCTCGAACGAAGAAGAGAAGGTTTAAGATTATAACTGCCCAAGCTCTAATATCATCTGTATTATCTTTACCTCCTTACATCCCGTTCTATTAATTATTTTTCTAATTACAATTTGTTCGAAGCCGTGTTTAGCAATTCAATGACGAGACACATAAGTCTACGTATGTTATAACAGTAGACGATTTAAATATTGTTATTGGAGGCTACACGAAACTCTAACCTCTCTTTCATAAGCAAACAGCAAAGTTAGTTTTAAGCCTCATTTACAATTAGTTCATGTAGTTTACAATTATCCAAATAAAGTTAGAGCAGGCATTTTTTGTTTTTTAAAGCATGAACGTTCTTTGAATTTGATAAGTGTTCACGTGTGCGTGAGCGAGTGAGTGTACACGCGGCCAGTGTTCTCTCTCTCTCTCTCTCTCTCTCTGCGCGCGCGCGCGTGTGTGCGTTCCGCGTTTGTGTGTGCTATGTGCGCCGCGAGAAAGAAAATAGTTAGAAAGAGTTTTGCATTTGAATGCCCATCGTATCTTATTGCTGTGCGAACGATCGCGCATTAATTTTAATTAACAAATTCTTGCTGCAATTAGAATTTCATAATTCAGCTTATTATTTCAAAGACGAGGGGAGATCGTTAATAGAAAAACAAAAATCCTCGGTTATTTTTTAGCCAAGGTCCCCCTCTAGATAGATAAAAGCTTGGATATTCATATAACTGTATTAGAAATAGGTTAAAATTATTGTGTCGGCAGATTGAAAGTAGTAGAAGGCTGGCGACATAATGGGGAATGAAATAATTTTAAAGACAGATGGATGTTAATGTTTTATAAATTGGCATAATGAAATATCACGATGATAAATTGTAAAAAAGGTAAATGAAACATATTATGTATTTATTATTTTGCGAATGTTTAATCAAGAAGCTCGGTCGATTTAATGAAAGTAGCGATGCAATAATGCGAGGCTCATTGTTAATCGAATGAAAGGTCGGCTTTGTTGGAATTTTCACGCCTTACGAAGGCTTGCTTTTCTTGATTTTATAATTGATATTTTTAACGAAATATTAATATACAGAAATTCTATTTGTTAGGTAGTCGCGTTCAAAATACAATATTTAATTCCCGATGGAGCTATGGCCGCGAGCCATTGATTAAAAACTTATTAATAATTTCTAGGCATTAGAGATGAATGAATTTTTTCCAATTATTGTTGTGGTACGTGTAGCGAGTATGTTGTATTTCAAGTACCGTCGTATGTCAATAAATAATTAAATGATATAGATCAGTCAATTAATTAATTTGATTAATTTATTTACTAATTGATAAATAAATGCATAAGAATGGAAGGACGTACGGAAGAATATTGAGCCATAACCTAATAGTGGGAGGAGGGAGCTTTATTAAAAGCATGAGAAGATAGGCACACAGCCAGCGTCAATTAGGTTTTCGTAAACAATAAACGAGCAAAGAGGTGTCGGAACAATGCCTGCGAAACGACCTTAGAGGACCTCTCGCTCGGCATAATCCAGTGTATATTATTTATCGCAATAAACGAACGAGCGAACACGTAAAAACAGCCGGAGCAGTAACAGCAAACAGTAACAGTAACAGTAACAGTAACAGCAACAGCAACAGTAGCGTCAACAGCAAGGGCAACGGCAACGGCAACGGCAACGGCAGCAGCAATAGCAACAGAAACAGCAAACAGCAAACATCAACAGCCACAGTCACATCAACAACAACATCAGCAGTAACAACAACAACAACAACAACAACAACACAAACAACAAAAACAACAAAAACAGAAATAGTAACAGTAGTAACAGCAACAACAATAGCAGCAGCAGCAGCAGCAGCAGCAGCAGCAGCAGCAGCAGCAGCAGCAGCAGCAGCAGCAGCAGCAGCAGCAGCAGCAGCAGCAGCAGCAGCAGCAGCAGCAGCAGCAGCAGCAGCAGCAGCAGCAGCAGCAGCAGCAGCAGCAGCAGCAGCAGCAGCAGCAGCAGCAGCAGCAGCAGCAGCAGCAGCAGCAGCAGCAGCAGCAGCAGCAGCAGCAGCAGCAGCAGCAGCAGCAGCAGCAGCAGCAGCAGCAGCAGCAGCAGCAGCAGCAGCAGCAGCAGCAGCAGCAGCAGCAGCAGCAGCAGCAGCAGCAGCAGCAGCAGCAGCAGCAGCAGCAGCAGCAGCAGCAGCAGCAGCAGCAGCAGCAGCAGCAGCAGCAGCAGCAGCAGCAGCAGCAGCAGCAGCAGCAGCAGCAGCAGCAGCAGCAGCAGCAGCAGCAGCAGCAGCAGCAGCAGCAGCAGCAGCAGCAGCAGCAGCAGCAGCAGCAGCAGCAGCAGCAGCAGCAGCAGCAGCAGCAGCAGCAGCAGCAGCAGCAGTAGCAGTAGGATAAAGATACAAGAAGACCGGTCTGATCGAGGAAGGTACCTTTCTGATTAGCAGCGGTTTTGCTCGTGCACTAACTGGGATGCACGTCGATGCCGGCGATGGCACGCGTCCGCGCACGCACGCACGCACGCACGCACGCACGCACGCACGCACGCACGCAGGCACTCTTACGCACCACTCGCGCTCTCCCTTCCTCACCCTGTCGTCGCCCCGGCCGTCACCACTGCTGTACCGTCGCTCTGAAGGAGGGGGCAGAAAAAGGAAGGAGCCGGCCGAGGTGCTCGTATCAGCTCCCGAGGAAGGAAACGCTGGAGGAAGAGGAGCGGACGACGCGTGCTCTGGGCCGGTGACGGCGAGTCCCCAAGCTTCGTGTCAGGCCGCTACAACGACTACTTTCCATTTGTGTATTACACGACAACGCACTGCCGGCACACCACTACGTGCCAGCGCGCCATCGGCCCGTCCACGCACTCGCTTACCCACGCGCAAACGAATACGAACGCGATTACTAACACGAATACGAACACGAATACGACAGGGACAGGCATGCACTCATCGACTGGTCTGCCCGTATGCGTGTGGATTTGTACGGCCTATGCGAGTAGCGGCTGCGGCAGCGGCGGGGAAAGCGGCGGCGGCGGCGGCGGCGGCGGCGGTGGCGGCGACGGCGGCGGTGGTGACTGCTGCTGCTGCTGCTGCCGCTACTGTTATTGCTGCGGTGGAAGCCTCTACGAGAGTCGGATGGTTGTGGCGGGTTATTGGGGGTAAGGGGAGGGGACTCGGTGCTAGACGAAGACAGTGCCGATGACAAGGGTCGCGAGCGGAGCCGGGAGCAAGAATTCCAACGAACTATGGTGATTGCGACGGGGGATTTTTCGTCGAGCGTGTAACGCCGACTTTTCGACGTTACAGCAGCGCATTGGCGGCTCAAGTACCGGCAGAGTGATCGCGACGATGCCGGATCTCGGGGTTTATCGCTGACAACTTGGTTGCGGAGAGGTTCTGCGCGCCGGCTGCGGCAGCAGTCGTTAACTTGGATTTACCTCGCCAACGGTCGAGTTGCTCGAGTAGCGCGCGCATATGCACATATGCACATGAGCACATGAGCACATGAGCATGAACACGTGCGGGAGGCGGGAGGTCTCGAGGAGGCCGCTCGTTCGCACTGGCGGCCGTTCGTCCGTCGCATGCTTTCTCGTGGTGCCGCAGGCCGATCGCGAGGACCTCGTGAGGCAAGGAGAGCTAATGTGGTCTGGTCGGCCTGGACGGGCTCTCCCAGGCACTCGGTCGGCATAGACGGACTACGATCTTAGCTACTCGACCTAGCGAGTCTCCATGCATGTACTTCGTGTGCTTGTGCATATGCGTGCGTGCGTGCGTGCGTGCGTGCGTGCGTGCGTGCGTGCGTGCCCGCATACTAGGGACGAGACAGAGTGACGTTGTCAATAGTGATATTGGGATACTCCGAGACGCACTTCATAATGCATAACGTTGCCGTTGTTTTTTTATTTTATCAAGGGACGGGAGCGGCATTTCATATTGAATTCCTTTCCTAATTATTCTTTAAGCAAATAAAAAGTACCAACTCGTAATGAGCGAGGAACCCGGTAGGCGTTGGTGAAGGTATTATTGCGTAAAGCTTGAGGCAGTTGGCACCGTTCATTGGTAAAGTCGCTGCGAGGACGTCATTTGAAATCGTTCGAAATTCGTTTCTGATCACCAAGCATTTCATAACACTCCTGTTAAAATAAAAAATTTCTACATAACTGTGCGTCGGGAATTTGTTTTTATAGCAATGGAATTCCAGCCAACTTGCATACGTGTCTTAAGAGAGAGAGAGAAAAAATTATGTTAAGTTAGTAAGCCATCTGTTTTAATGGAGCATATTACGTATCGAAAATTTTATACAATATTACTTTGCACAGCGTTTTACTCAATTAACATAAATTTACGGAAACAATCACGTTGTAGCCCATCTCTTAATCGATAAAGCAATAATAATTTAAAAAAGTAAATTTACATTATACGCCGAATGACAATTATTAATCGAGCTTTTAGTTCTATATTCATTATGCATAATTCTTTAAAAATATTTCACAATGAATAAATTCGGATGAATTATGTTACGTTTAACTGCCAAAAGATCTGCAAGTGTACTTTGACCAGCAAAGGAACTACAACATCGTAATTCGAAAGCGATCGACTGAAAAATATTCTAAAATCGTGTCTTGCGTAAATCCATATGCACATTAATTAAATCTAAATTCTAGAATATTATCTGGGATTGGAAAATCTCGGGAAAATCCAATGCTCATCTATTGCATACATTTAGTGGTGCCGCCATTTTACATCCACGACAATTATTATCTCGTAAACAATAAAAATAAAAAGCCAAATAATTCTCCCAC